TAAGGTTTTCCCTGGCCAATTCTTTGAGAAGTGGACAGCCTCTTCCTTCTTTCTAGTCTGTCTCAGTCTGTAAGGTGGGCTGATACCTGTGCACCATGTGCATCCCACTGGGTTTGAAACACCAGTGGCCCAGCCTCAAAACTCACATCAACATGTCACCACGGTAGGACAAATCGACAGACAAGTTTGTCTCCCTGTTGGAAACCTCTCGTACCACCCTTATCTGGGTCCCTGTGATTGACTGCTCTTCTGTCCAGGTTCCTAAGCCTTTTAGTCCCCTTTCTCCCGCCCTGCTGCTTTGGGCGAGCCTGGGTTCCCTCTCCTCACCTGGATCCCTGCGGCTGACTGCTCCTCTGTCCAGGTTCCTGGCTTTTAATTCCCTTTCTCCCGCTCTCCTGTCCTGCTGCTTTGGGCGTGCCTGGGTTCCCTCTCCTCATCTGGATCCCTGTAGCTGACTGCTCCTCTGTCCGGGTTCCTGGCTTTTAATCCCCTTTCTCCCGCTCTCCCGTCCTGCTGCTTTGGTGTGCCTGGGTTCTCTCTCCTCACCTGGATCTCTGTGGCTGACTGCTCCTCTGTCTTGGTTCCTGGCTTTTAATCCCCTTTCTCCCACTCTCCCATCCTGCTGCTTTGTGTGTGCCTGGGTTCTTTCTCCTCACCTGGATTCCTGCAGCTGACTGCTCTTCTGTCTGGGTTCCTGGCTTTAAACTGACTACTGACTACTGAGATAAAAAGATAAAAATAAGCTGGTGGTCAATAAGTCAAATTGGTGGTAAACGAATTTAAACAATGAAAATCCTTTTGTTGTTAGTGTTGTTAGGTGCCATCGAGTACCCGTAGCAACCCTATGTGTGGCAGAATGAAACACCTCTTGGTCTCATGCCAGATCCACGATCCCTGCAATACTTGAGCCCATCACTGCAGCCACTGTGTCAATCCATCTCATTGAGGAACTTCCCCTCTTTCGTCGACCCTTTACCTTACCAAGCATGACATCCTTCTCCAGAGAATGGTCCCTTCTGACAACATGACCAAAGTAGGTAAGCTAAAATAATTCAATCTAAGCACACTCAGCTTATCAGCAATCAATGTCTTAACTTAAGAAAAAAAAAAAAATTCTGTTTCTTACCAATTCTTCATTTTTAATATATTCCATTAATTTATCTATTTTTCCCCCTTGCTTGTTTGATAGTTCCACCTCATACAAATTCAAGCACATATCTTGGTGAAAAACTGTAGAGAAAGTCAGGGGAAAAAAAAATCAGAATGTTTCTTAAATATGCTATTATATTTTTATAATCAATTTATTTTATATAGTAGAAAGAAGAATTAGAAATACTACTAAAATTGTATTTCAATATTCTCGGGTACAAGTCACCTTAATAAAAAGTTATGGAAAAAATGATTCTAAACAATGCTATCATTTATACTAAAACCATTAGAGGATTACAAAACAATATATAAAAATATAAACAACACTGTTCTATGAACTAATCTAAAAAAAGAAATCTTCTAATTTTTGCTTTTTATCTTTTGAGTTTAGAAGTATATAAATAAGTAAAAATAGTAACAACTCTGTTCTTGAGAGGATTAGTTATGAGTTTCTAACTATTTTTAAGCATGTTTCTGCTTAGTTCCTTCAGTATTCCACATTATTTTAGATCAAACTACCTTTCAGTGTCTAGATTACTTGGAGGAACTACAGTAATCTAACAACTATAAAATTTTCACAAAATATCCCTTTAATGAATACTCATAAATTGATATGATGACAACCTTTTTTTTTCCTTTGTTGTTGTTTTTAAAGACAAAACAGTTGTATGTGTATGTGTGTTGGTATGTGTGGAAGAAAAGAACCCAAAACCTTTGCCATAATGACTATATAGAACAGTGTAGCACTGCCCCATATTTGGAAGAGCATTGAAAGGAATTGGACAAAGCCCAGGACATGCACTGATTCACTACCTTCAAATAGACATTTTTGTTCCAAGTAATTCTGTTTTTTAAAGGCAGCTTCTGGTAGTATCTTTTTCAAAGAAGACACTTTCATTAGATACTTAAAATCTAGTTCCAATGGCCTAGAAAACAACACAACAATATCAGGCAGTGTAATAAACATTGAAATGTATAACTCCATTATTTTTTATTTTCTAATATAAACAAAAATATAACTACAAAAAAAGTCCTTAAATTATTAAACTCCTAGGTTAAATAATACATTATATTTGTAAATATTATAGATTTCTAAATATATGACCTATAAACCACTGCCTGGATGTGTTTTTGGTATAACTAAAATATCCACATGTGTTAAAGATGAATTATGCACACTGAAATTGAGAATTTTTAAATATTATATTGTGTAAGAGTTGAAAACTTTTGACAATTCTGGACTGCCTACCATGCAGTGCCACAGAATGAACCACATTCAGATCACTTGGATCATTTCCTTTGACTCCTTTCTTAAAATTCCTTTTGAGTTACTGTAAGACTTAAAGTTGTAAGAATAGTATAAAGAATTCTCTTATGCCCTTCATCTAGACTCCCCCAAATGTTAGCATATCACCATGTTCACTTACTATTGTTAACATTTTACTATGCTTGCTTTATCATTTTTTCTGTCTCTATATATACGCTTATTATTTTTCTCTGGACCTTTTCAGAGTAAGCTGCAAACATGCTGCCCCAATATCTAAATACTTCTATGTATGTTTCCAAAACAAAAATATTTTATGTTGTTGATCCCCATAAATGGACTAATAACTAACATCATGATAAGTGGAAAAATTGCTGAAGTTATTTATCAAGTATTTCATTTTACTTGGATTCACAATCAATGCAAAAGGAAGCAACAGTCAAGTAATCAAATGACATATAGCACTGGGCAAGCCTGCTGCAAAAGACCTCTTTAAAGTGTTAAAAAGCAATGATGTCACTTTGAGGACTCACGTGTGCCTGACTCAAGGCAAGGTATTTTCAACTGCCTCATATGTTATATGCATGTGAAAGATGGACAATGAATAAAGAAGACTGAAGAAGAATTGATGGTTTGAATTATGGCATTGGTAAAGAATACGGAACATACCATGGACTGCCAGAAGAACAAACAAATCTGTCTGCCTTGGAAAAGGTGCAGCCAAAATGTTCCTTAGAAGTGAAGATGGCAAGACTTTGTCTCAAGTCCTTTAGAAATGCTACAAGGAAGGACCAGTCTCTGAAGAAGGACATCATGCTTGGGAAAATAGAGGTTCAGCATAAAGAGGAAGAACCTCAAAGAGATGGACTGGCACAGTGCCTGCCAACAACAGGCTCAAATAAACATAGCAATGACTGTGAGGATGGTACAAGACCAGGTAGTGTTTCATGCTGTTGTACACAGGGTCATGATGAGTCCAATTCCACAGCACCTAACAACGTTATCTAACTTACAGAACTTATTTAAATTTCACCAGCTGCCTCATTAAAATCCTTTATAGCAAAAGAGGAGCCTTGGTGTAGCAGTGGTTATATGTTCAGCTGCTAACCAAAAAGGTTTGGCAGTCTGAACTCATTAGCTGCTCCACAGGAGAAAGATGTGGCAGTCTGCCCCCGAAAAGATTTACAGTCTAGGAAACTATGGAGCTATTCTATTCTGCCCTATATGGTTGCGATGACTAGACTAGATGGCAATGAGTTTGGCCTTTTGATCTTAGCACAAGAAAACAACTTCTTTTTCCCTGGTCCAGGATCCAACCCAGGCACACATACTACATTAAATTAGTTTTCATGTCTTTTTGTTGTTGCTGTTAGGTGCTATCAGTTGACTCGAACTCATAGTGACCTCATGTACAACAGAAGAAACAATGCCCATCTCTTACCCTTTTACACTGATCCTCTACTTTACCAAGCATGATATCCTTCTGCAGGGACTAGCTCCTTCTGACAGCATGACCAAAGTAAGTGAGATGAATGAAGTCTGGCCATTCTCAGTTCCAAGGTGCATTTCCACTGTATTTCTTGCCAAACAGATTTGTGTGTTCTTCTTGTAGTCCATGGTATTTTCAGTATTCTTCACAACACCATAATTCAAATGCATCAATTCTTCTGTGGTCTTCCTTATTCATTGTCCAGCTTTCAAACATCTTTTTAGTCTCCTTTAATTAGTAACTTTGGCATTTTTTAACATAGACCATAATTTGCAGAATGCCCCTTAATCTGGATACATCAGATATTTCCTCGTGATTAGATTTTTGGTAAGAATACCACAGAAATGATGTAGCATCATTCTCTGTGCATATCAGGAAGAACATAATGCCTATCCCATTACTAGTGAAGTTAACCACTTGGTTAAGATGGTATCTGCCAGTTTTCTCCAATATAAAGTCTATTATTTTTCCTTTTGTGATTATTAAAGAAGTTGAGATTATTAAAGACTCTAAAATTATGCAAATACCATCACATTTTTACCTACTATTTTTAGCATCCACTGATTATTTTGGTATTCCCAAAGGTGACTTATCTAATTTCATCATTCTTTCTCCATTTATTAGTTACACTCTAGAGTGAGGAAAAAACTTTCCCTTTCTCTCCCACTTAATCCAGTCACAGAAATCTTATTTTATTATATGAGTTATAATGCCTCTAATTCTTCTTTAAAAAGCTAATAGAAAGATGATGAATTCTGATAGCACACCAGTTTTTCCCTTAACATTTTAACTTAATTACATCTATCTTTTAACAGTTTTTAGTATAATCTAAGAACAGACTAAGCAAAAAGATTTCATAAGATGTCCTTCACAGTTCCCTAGAAGAAAATATTCATTATAATTCATTATATACTATAAATACACAAAATAACTACTCTATTTAATATTCTTCAAAGAAAATCATGTGAAAATTAGAAACTCAGGTATTGGAAATCTTAATAATGACTCAGTAATAGAATTAAGTGACTATAATCTGCTCTCCCTGTCATGTAGGTAAATCTGATTTGTTTCTTGGGAAAGTCAAACTTTTAGTATCAAATAATTTATTCTAAGGTCATTATGCCATAAATGGATTAGGATATTAAGATTGAAAAAGGGTTTGTGTAAGGTTACAAAACTAATTTCTTTCAAAGCCAAGGCCAGAATTTAGATCAAACTTGAGCTCTTCTGTGTCACAGCTCTGTGTTCTACTCATCTACCCATCTGAAAGTACCAAAAATCTTAAATCACGTATAACTGCTAAATTTTACAACAATTTCACACCATGAATTACCAGCAAGACCACAACATAAGAACTTTTTTAAAATTTATTTTTACCCAGCCATTAGGAAAGGACACAAAATTCAATACTTACAGTTGTGTTGGAATCACTGTACCATAAGTAGACCAAAGAGATATATCACACAGCAGACAGCCTTGATTAATTAATTTCCCTTTCCATGGAGAAATGAGAACTTTAAGAAATGAAGGTAATAAAGAAACATTATTTTATTGATTAATGACACATTTACTCTGAATGAAAACCTAAAGGAATAACGAATGATATTTCTTACCAAAATGATTTCTTACCATTTTCATGGAGTTCAAGTCTAGGAGGAAAAAAAAAGAGACACATTTTTGTAAGAGCAAAGGAAACAAATCCAATAAAACAAAGTATGTGCCTAATTACTTACATGCTTTTACGAGCTGCCATCTTTTTAGGTTCCCTGTATTGAAAAGCTACAATTACATAAGGACAGATCTGTCTGGGTCGCTCAATAACAGTGCTGCCTGAAAGTTCATAGAGGTAATACTGAAAGAAGAAAAACAAGAATTATTGGGGTAGCACTATGAAATTACATTTGCACCAAGTTTATCTTAACCTTACCCATCCCTAAAATTTACATTAGATTCAGAAGTATATTTATTTACAAGTGACTATACCTGACTCAGTTCAAAGGCACGAAAATGACTTGTCTTAGGAGAAACCTTGTTAGTATTTGTAGCTACGTGACAGTCATAGCCAGAAGATGGCCTAGTATAGTTAGTTGTATAATTCTCAGGCACAAACTTTACTTTTCCCTAAAATGAAAATACTAGAATTAATGAAATGTCTTCAAATAGTAACAACTTTTATTTTAGGATTCATTTAAAAGTACTCTAATAAAGACATGGATGTGTTTAAACTAATAGCTGATTGTGTTAAGAATTATGCTTCCTAAAAAAAACAATCATCTAAAGGCCAACAATAATTTTAATTATCCAAGAATCCCTTAAAATTATATTAAAAATGGGATGTGTTTGGGCACCTCTCTGAGGCAACTGTCCAAGCTCTTATCACAATATCGAAAGAATACATGAATTACTTCAAATTTAAATTTGCTTTGAAAGAAAAACTATATAGCTCACCATAGATGACAAATGAAGTTTAAAATGTCAAAAGATGAGTTTCTACACCGAAGTATTAAATCATCAATTATAAATTACAGACCAAGATATTTCTGTTCAGCTAGAACCCAGTAAATTATACAAAGCAAGTATGTATTCAAGTTCTTAGCAGGCCACTGGCCTTAATTACTAAACAGCTGACACTATTTCCCATTATAGATTTCTCATCAAGGTTACATGTCTTTCCGAAAAAAATGAGACAAAAAAATCAAGTTTCCCATGTGACGAAATATTATGTAATGATTTTAAAAAGTAATCCAAATATTTAAGAATATAAAAAAATGCTTACAACATAATGTGAAGTCAAAAAGTAGCATGTA